GGGGGGGGGCAGTACAAGTGCAGGAATTTATGCTTTCAGAAATTCAGTAATTTGTGAATTTGAAGTGTTGAAAATATGGATATTTTGGATTAGGAAATTTGTAAATTTGTGAATTCAATAAATTAGAGAATTAAAGTATGCTGTTATTAGAAATTTTTATTTATAAAACAATTTTTAAATAAAATTAATATTTTTATTTCAGACTGATATATCTGGTGTTATTGTTAACCTATGAAAAAAGGAATCATGCCCTCGACGTAATTTCACCATCAGCAAAAACTTCTAAGGCTATGGCTACCAGAGGAGCCGTGAACGACGTCGTCTCTAAGAACATTACTATGGTTCTTGAAAATCTGCTGATGAATTATGAGAACAATCAACTACCTACACATGGAAAAGGTAAATTAAAATAAAAATAATTTTATTGTTGAAGTGATTGTATATGATGCCTATCTTAATTTGTTAGCAACCTTGTTATATTTTTATTTATTGGAAATATAAAATAAATTATTTAGATATTTGTTTGTATTTTAAAAATTTTATTTTCAAATTCTCCATTTTTGAAAATTTGAAATTAACTGAGTCTCAAGTTCTCAAATTTCCAAATTCTCAAATTTCTGGACTCTCAAATTTATAATTTTGTAATAATAATAATAACAACAATTGTAAACAGATAAAAATTGATTAGTTATTATTGAATCGGAAACTCTAACATGTATTCGCAAAACTCTCCTTATCGTCGTCGATTGAATTGGATCACTGCCGGAAATGATCGGATTATTCCAACCTTGTTGATAACAGGATTAAGCGATTATCAAAATTCGTTCGAAAAATTCATGTATAGTTTTTTTATTTCAGTTTCCATAAATTTCCGATGGCTTGTTTTCAATCTAATAAAATCTCTAATATTTTTAGTATTTCTTTGTAGCCTCTAGAATGTAAGATAGGTTAGGTTCTATTGGTTCTGACAGGTGTCACTGGAAGAAACTGTGCATTTTGAGAATCTTTACAAACTGAATAAGACTTGGAAACTTCTCATGTACATAAAATCTGTTCCTTTCAAGTTTCCTTTCACAATCAATTGAAAATATTTTGAAAGCTGTTTACCTTTACATATTGTCAGAAGTAAAATATTCACTATTGAATATTTGTGGAAACGGAACGTTTCATATCTACATAAAACAAGGTATTCGATGTTTTTCAGAACAAAACGTTTTATAATTTTTTAAAACAGAATATTCAGTACTTTTAGAAACAAAATTGTTAATGAAGTGGTTAAGAGAAACACATATTCATTATTTTAACAATCTATGTATTTAAATATGTATATTAATGATAATAGTATGTATCACGTTATATTGTTCACACGACATGTGCACGCTACCGCGCAATTCTGTACGTTCCGGTATATTGTTCGATCGTCAACTGTCGATCTTTATCCGAGTATATCCGAACATTGCCGACCCCTTCCGAAACTATCGAGAGCTTCCGCGATCCTATATACTTCAACAATGTTCCATTTTTTGTAAAACAAAATATTAAATAGTTTTCTAATAATTATAAAAATTTAACTATCGTTTTCGTTACGATTAATTTTACTATCGTATACGTAAATTATACGTAACTCTTTAAATTTTCCGCGATTTCAATCAACCACGATCGACGCCATATTGTTTTCCTTCAGTCACGTATAAAACACAGTAGACTACGTACTGCATCTTTTGCATTGTGTTTCTCTTCGAATATATTAATTAAAATACAAAATATTTATTTTATATGAATTTAAACTGTGACGGTTTTTATATAAATAATATATTCTCTGTTTAATAAACGCCATGTAGAGAATAGTTTTTGACGTTCTGTTCTAAGTCAAACAAAATTTTAATTACGCTCTCTTAAAACATCTACAGTAAAACAGTTTCAGCGGTAGCTCGTCCATTTTCTTGCAAAAAGGACCGCAATAAAGAACTTCTAATACATTTTCTGTTTATTACATAACTTTTTTAAAAACGTATCCAAATATACCTTTTGACAAAAATTAGTAATTAAAATAGTTTCTAAATCCTTTGTTGCATTCTGTTGCAAATATGCTATACGCAATAAAGCTTCTGTGTTTAGTTGAATATAAGTGAACAGCTAATTTCAAAATTGATAAATATCATCGTATGAATGAATTCTAAATTTAATTATGTGAACAGTAAAATTAATATTAATAAAAATGAATAACGAAATTATTAGTGAATAAAACTGAAATAAATCATGTTAATAATTACAACCTAGTTAAATATAACGCAGTTTAAATGTAAGTACAAATATGAAAAATATATAAATAAAATTTTGCTTAATATAAATATAAGGAACGGTTAAGGAGCGGAAAGAAGTTGAAATAAATTGAAAAGTACATATTGATAAATTGTTATTCGAATATTGATACCGAAATGTTTACACGGAAAGAAATGGAGCATCGTAACAGCCTTTGACGAATGATCGAGCGAAAGAGGAAAAAATACAAGATGGTATATGAATGGAACACGCGAAAAGTTGGATTGTAGCCAGCGAAAGCGAAGTATCTCTTGGAAATCGCCTTTTTATCTCTATGATGCGGTCTCAGTTTTTTTACGATTTCTTTTTTTCGTAGCTGAAAAAAATGTCGAAATCCTTTCGATTATCCTTCCATACCCATTTCTGTCGACGTATCTGTTCTATTTTTTGCTTTGCATGCACCATATCACCCGCTTTTGCTCTTCTCCTTCCATTCTCTATTTGCTTTTTGTAACGGAAACATTTATGGACGCATCAGTTGATTATATTTGTTATTCTCTATATATAAAATTATTATTTATTTATATATTTACTCCACTTGTAGAATTATTATTTTTGTATACATTTAATATTTCTTTTTATTACAATTTCTCTCATAACCTTAATAAAACAAAAGTTATATATTATTTTATTTTTAATTTTATTTTTCCTTTATAGCAATATTTATAGGTGAGTTATTAATGGTGATATTAACTGATTTCATTAGTTATTTATGGGGATGACAATTGATTACATTATATTTCAAGAATCCTTTTAAAGATAATTTATGTATGGTGATTGTACATCAGTGATGGGCAGTTTGAGTAGCCGCCAACAAGTTTCTGGGCAACGATTGTACCCGCTGAAACAAAAAGAAAGCAATATAGTATGAATTTTCCATTCCTGAGATTTTACAGTTCTGGTTTTGAAAATTTGGTAATTTAGGAATTTTGAGGTTTTGTAGTTTTGGAAATTGGGATTTTGGAAGTTAGGATTTTGGAATTTTGGAATTTTGGAATTTTGGAATTTTAGAATTTTGGAATTTCGGATTTTTTAATTTAGAAATTTTTAAATCTTGGAACTTTGGAATTTTGAAATTTTGCAATTTTGCAATTTTAATAATTTTAGTATTGCGGATTTTGGGAGTTCGGAATTTTGAAATTTTTAGACTTTGATTCTTTCGGATTTTTAGAATTTTGAGTTTTAGAATTTTGGAATTTTAGAATTTTGAGATTTCGGATTTTGGGGTTTTGAAATTTTGAACTTTTGAGTGTTTGGATGTTGGCATTTCTAAATTTTGCAATTTTGGCAATTTTATATTTAAAAATTTTTTTGTTTTTGAAATTTGAAATTTTGTGGTTTTGGAATTTTGAGACTTCGAAATTTTTGGATTTTAGAATTTTGAAATTTTGGGGATTTTGAGATTTAAGAATTTAGTAATTTAGCAACTTACCAACTTAGTAATCTAGTAATTTAGTAATTAAGGAATAAATCATTATTTAGTAATTAATTTAGAAACTTGTACATTAGAAAAGTTAAAAATATTTGAAAACTTGTTGAATAAGGGATTCGTAAATTTGAGAATTTAAAAGTTTGCAAATCCATAATTTGGAAAATTTTACTATATATCCATACCTACTCAAAAATTTACAATAAATCTATTTTCCGCAAAGTGCGCTTCATAATGAAATGTAATACCAAATTGTTTTTATTAGGTACACCAACAGTAGTGAAAACGAATATTTTAATAAGAAGCATGGGTCCTGTGTCAGAATTGGATATGGTATGTTCACACAATATTAACATAATTATTATTGCTAATAATAAGTACACTAATAATTACTAATTAATTGTATTTAAATAATTATTCCATTAAACTGTTAAAAATTGCAATGATACCATTCAAATTTTATAAAAATAATAATATTTTATATTTAACGACACACTTTTAAACAAAGCTCAAATATTAATATAATTGTTTTTTTACTTTATTATTAGCATAATATTTTACATGGCCACTATAAATTTTGCTGTATATTAACTAAAAAATTGCAGTGTTTCATATTGAACACTCGTCCATGTTAAGTTACTCTACATACAGGGTGTTCTAGGTTTTTATTGCCTAAATATTTGAAACTCTATGTTGATATGATATCCTTTTATATTTCTATAATATAATATAATATTATTTATTATTTATTATATATTATATATTATTTATTATATTAATATATAATATAATATATAATATATATATGTATATACGGAAATTATTTCGGTATTTTTCCGAGACGTTCAGGCTAACCCAAGAGCAAAGCCACCATGTTTTCGAATCGGTATTATCCGGAGTGGGGGAAGGACCACGTGACTCGGCGGGGTCCGAACCGCGACGGATTAAGACCCGCTATCACTCTTTCGATAGCCGCCGCTCGGTTCGGTCGTAGATCGTTCCGTCCTTAGCGTCTCGAACCCGTTGTATACAAAGCAATACAAATTTCATTTTCTTTCTTTAATTTTCACAATTATTATTTCTAAAATATTGCGTTCCTCATTTGACAATTATTGATTATTCCATAATTATTGCATATTATTAAATATTTGTTCATTAATGTATTATTGCTCAATTGTTGCATTATTGTAAATACGTATTGTAATCGTTTATATTATATATCATCAATTATTATTGTTAATTATCGTTGTCGCCAGTGTATTACGTGTTGTATATTTTCGTTTTTATTAATAAATAATTAATTAATACCAAATCGTCTGTTATTTTTCCTTACGTATTCAACATACAGAAATAGAGTATGTTAATAGAATATGTTAATAAGTTTGGCAAAAAAAAACTGGGACACCCTGTATATTTCTACATTTTTTTATTTAATTAAAAATTTCATTTGCCATTTTTACCATTACAGGACTATTCAATGGACTGTTACTTCCGGCAATCATGGCGGGATTCTCGGTTGAGTTTTCTAGGCCCAATAAAATCGTTAAGTCTAAGCATTAAAATGTTGGAAAGAATTTGGAGGCCAGATACGTATTTTTATAATGGGAAACATAGTTATGTGCACACCATCACGGTACCCAATAAGTTATTAAGAATCTCTCAGGACGGGGATATTCTTTATTCAATGAGGTTATTAAAATTTTAATCAAACACTGTGTAGATGAAAGTAGTATGCCATCTTGTTTTTTGAATATAAATCGGGAAATAATGATTTATGGTTTGAATAGAAATCTTATTCAAATATCTATACGCACACATATATTAAATGAAAGAACGGTTTACTAATTTCTTTTTAAAAACAGACTTACTATAAAAGCAAAATGTCCAATGGAACTCAGGAATTTTCCCATGGATCGACAATCTTGTCCTCTTATTCTTGGAAGCTGTAAGTATTTGTTTAAAAATCTTCAAACATAACCTTGGAATTCAGAAAGAATATTTAACAACTATTGTACACATATTTAACTTTTATTTCATCATTTAATAAAGTCATTTTTAATTATTGCAGGATATTAACTAAACGAATAAAGATGCTGAATTTTTATATAAAATTTTTAGTATTTTTATATTTTTAAATACACTACACTTAAGTGAGTTTTAATTTTATTTAGTTTATATTTTCTTTCCTATTACACTTTAATTTTACATTTTTAATTTCATTTATTTTTATTTTAAAATTAATATAATAAGAACTATGTTTTTGTGAGAAAAATATTAAAAATATGTTAAAATATGCTAAATATAAAAATGTACTACTAACAAAATTATAAAAGATTATAAAAACTATGTTAAAAACACCTCGAATTTTCACGCAAAATTTCTACTTTTTCTTTTTTGTTTTAAGATGCATACACTTCCGGTCAATTAGTTTACGAGTGGCAAGAAGGTTCTTCCGTAAATTTTGTTCCTGGAATGGCTCTTTCGCAATTCGATTTAATGGGTTCACCGTACAGGAACTTAACTTTTGTCCGACGGGAGGGTGAATTTTCGGTTCTTCAGGTCTCCTTCAACTTACAACGGCATACTGGTTATTTTCTCATTCAGGTAATGAATTTACCCAAGGAACTGTCTAATCATAACAATTTCTTGTTGTTTAATAACTCAGCAATAACAATTACGTTTAACGACCTAAAAGTAACAATTATACTATTTATCATTAAACAGCTTAATCATTTTTCTTTAAAATAAATAAAATTGCATTACAAATCGATATTTTTTACTCAACTACAATCGAGAAATTACTGCCTTTTGTACGGTTTAATGCGTTCGATGTTACGCTGTCTTGTTGACAGTGACAGATGCGGAGATTGGCGCCTTTTTGAAATGTGTAATATTACACAATTGGTTTGAAAGTGTATACAGCTATTTGAAGAATGACAACAGCTTCTTTTACTTTAATAAATAGCTCTTCAACTGAAAGATTTAACAATAGCATAAAATGTAACTAATAGTAAATGTAATTTTTGCTTTACTTATTTTCCTAACCTTACAATTTTATTAGGTTTATGTGCCCTGCGTTTTAATAGTGGTACTAAGTTGGGTCTCATTTTGGATCCACCGTGAGGCTACCAGTGATAGAGTTGGTTTAGGTAAATTTTTTTCTCGAACATTTTTTAATAGTTACGCTTTCGTTCAGTTACAAAATATTGAAAGAAAAGGATTTAAAATTTAACGTGATTTACGTATATGTATCCATCACTGAGAAGAGATATACATAATTATACTACAAAATATTTAATCAAAAGAAATTCCAAAATTAATACTTTTAATATAAAATATAATATTTTTGAATCTCTTTACAATATCTTAAGTAAAGAAATAACACTGTAAAATATATTAAATTGTTTTAAATAATGTGAAAATTGTCACTGACACTATGTATTTAATGCAATGTTTTAAAATTTTAGTCTTATGTTTTTAACAAAAAACAAGTGGGTGTTCCTTGTTTTCACAAGATCATTTTAGGTACAACCAAATTAAAACAAATGACTATGTTCTCTTAAATACGTTTTGTTCTTGGAAACTCATAACAAATTTGCCACCCTTTATGAAAACTAATGCTGTACTCTCTTCAGAAACTTGTAACTAATATATTTACTTTGTATATTCAAAATTGTATGCTTTTTATGTAAAAAAATACAAACGTGTTTTATGACCAAAGTACAAACATTAAAAACAATATTTAGTTCATTTTTATTTATTTATATTATCGGGTATTATAACTTTGTTATTTAAGATCTGCATTCTTAGATCCTTTTCTTTAATATTATATATTATATTAATGTAGTGTATAGTAATAAATTATTTCAAATAAATATTGAGGCAGGTAATTCAATATGCTATCTTTTTAGGTATAACCACTGTTTTGACATTATCTACTATTAGCCTTGACTCTAGAACTGATTTGCCAAAGGTCCGTTATGCTACTGCTCTAGATTGGTTTTTGCTAATGAGTTTTGGATATTGCATTGCTACTCTTTTAGAATTTGCTGGTGTGCACTACTTTACCAAGGTATATCAACTTTAAATACTGTTTTAATGTACACAAAGTATTAATTAAAATATAGACTACTTTGATTCTCCACATTAAAATATTAAAATGAATGAGAAGATATGGTCAGTATTAATAAAAGTATGTGAAGTAATAATAAAATAAAAATTTCTCAATATAAAAATTTGAAACTTCTGCATTTTATAATGTGAACATTTTTCAGTTAAGAAATAATTTTGTGCAGGTTGGTAGTGGTGAAATTCCTTTAGATGAAGAAGAGTTGGAAAATGAAAGTGAAACTGATTTTCAAGATGGGTTTTGTAGTATCGTATCATGCAGTCCTCAAACTGTTCATCCAGAGACAATAATAGACATACATCGAAGAAGAAGTTCATTAATATGTGATGTTTATGGTATTAATGTAAGAATTTCAAAATTGTAGCTTGATATAATTTAACTACTAACTTTTATTAAATGAAAAAGTTTTACTAATTAAATTAATATCTAATTTTTCATTATTTTTATCTTGTGGTTTTATCTTTGGACTTGGAAATTTTAACTGTAACTTTAAATTTGGATTAATCTTTTATTTGAAATATTGTTAATATAATTATCTTAACATAATAATAATAAATTAGGAATCAGCGTCTTACGGGAGAGAATCAATGACGGTTTCCGTTACTTCAAAACCGTCGACTATGGAAAGACAAACACAAACGGATGTATGGATACCAAAATGGCGGCAGTTCCTTTATTGCCTCGCCGGAGATGAAGCATTTAGGTTAAGCTATCTTACTACATATTCTCTGTTCATGATACCAACATTTATATAAAAACTTATCATTTGTGTAATGTAAATAACATTTTTAAAGTATATAATAAAAAATTTTCTATTCTTTTTAAATGTAGACGACGCAGGCAAAAGGAAGCAGCTGGAAATTGCAGAAAACATGGAGAAAAAATTGCAAGACACATAAACAGTGTTTCTTATATTGATAAAGTAGCACGAATAGTATTTCCAGCCTCCTTTGGATTTCTTAATGTTTGTTATTGGCTTATTTATGTCACCTATCAAGAAGAATTCAAATGGCAGGATCCACCACTCGGATCTATTTCTCAATAATTGGATTGAAATATCAAATGAGATAGAAATGTACATATCTAACTTAGATCGAATTGTTTAATGTATAAGTTATAATAAATTATTGTTTTAAATGTTTGTAAATGACTTATGCTTCGTTATTAGCACCTTCAAGTTATATCTTCAGGATCAACAGTTATATCATATAGTAGAAATGTTCATATAGTAAACAACATATAGTAAAATATGTTGCAATTTTAAAAACATATTTATTACCCTTATCATTAACATCTTAAATATCCTTCTCGGCACAGGAGATTATAACTTATACATTAAATTTCCACATTGTAGAAGTATATCTACTGTTAGATCACTTTAACATTAACCTTTTCACCTTTGCTTAATATTAATTGGATAATTTTTGTAATACCATCCTTTATAAATAAATATAGAGGTTTAATTGCGTTTTTTGTTTTCACACTAACATCAGCACTTCTGTTTTGACGTAATTTAATAATTGCTTTCTCATAAACTGGCAAGTGGTGTAGTCAAAAGGTTTATACTCTCACTACATTTTGGCAGGAATTCATAAAAATAACTGAACAATGTCAATAACTGTGAAATAATACGAATTCTTCTGATCATACTAAAGAATATTCTTACTTTTCTTCCATTTCCTTCCAGTATTGGATCAATTAAATTACAACGTACAAAATTATATATTCGGTAAGATATATAATCATCATATTATAACGCAGAAACATGTCCGTGAGTTACGCTGAGACGTTGTACGCATGCTCGAAACAAAGCAGAAGAATATTATGCATGTGTACTCCTACAATGATGGTACAGTAAAACCCTTATTAAGGGACACACAAAAACTAATTACGCTATCATTGTGGGTACTCCGACTACTTTTTCTTTGATTACTTTCTTTGTAAAAATTTGCATGTCTATCTTTTACGGTTTAGAACTGCGCAGGGGTTCAAGGTTAACTGATTAATTTCCCGTGGATAGCACGGGCGTTCCGCAAGTTAGTAACTAAATGATTAAACAATAAGTTTAATTAAGTTATGCATTGTATGAAAAGTGGTGAAAATAAAGAAAAATTGATCAACAATCATTGTGTATTTATTGTTACCTAACAAACCCAACAGAGTAAAAATTTATAAATTGGTCGGTGGAATTTTAAAAATTTCGCCCGGGAATTCTTGGAATTTTACGTCATTAAAATTCCAAGAAGTGGCACGAAAGATACCTCCTCACAACTTATGTTCTCCTGATAGAAATTTTCAAAATCGGTCTGTGGAATTTCAAAAATCGCGTCTGGGAATTCTTGGAATTTGACGTCATCAAAATTCCAAGAAGTGGCACGAAAGATACCTCCTCACTACTTATGTTCTCCTGATACAAATTCTCAAAATTGGTCGGTGCAATTTCAAAAATCGCGCCTGGGAATTCTTGGAATTTGACGTCATCAAAATTCCAAGAAGTGGCACGAAAGATACCTCCTCACAACTTATGTTCTCCTGATAGAAATTTTCAAAATCGGTCTGTGGAATTTCAAAAATCGCGTCTGGGAATTCTTGGAATTTGACGTCAGTAAAATTCCAAGAAGTGGCACGAAAGATACCTCCTCACAACTTATGTTCTCCTGATACAAATTTTCAAAATCGGTCGGTGGAATTTCAAAAATCGCGCCACGGGAATTTTTCAAATGACGTTATGAAAATTCCATGAAGCACAAAGAATACCTTCTTATAATACATGTTCTTCTGGTACAAATTCTCATTATTTTATTTTTTATTTTTTATTTCTTAAAATTTAGTGTAATTTCTTGGGATCGGAGTGACAGGATTTATAAATAAGTAAATATGCAAATACATGTTTTTATTCATATTTATTTTCAAACACTTTTATACATCAAATGACTGAATATATTTTATTAACAGATAGATACATTATTAACACTTTTTTCTAGGACGGAATTATCATAATAATATGTGTTATATACGCGATTGGGGAAGTAGTCCCACGAGCGGACTGCGCG